TGGAGGTCATGTTGCCGGCGCTCTTCCAGGACGATTTCCCGTACGGTGTGGTCGAGTTGGGGCCCTGCAACAGGTGACGGGTGCGTTCTGGATGCATCGGATCTCCAAAGAGACTCCACAGTGCATGTCAGTTTGCGGTTGCGGTGCTCAAGCACCTCTACTCTTTCCTTGAGTTCTTTGCATGTATTCTTCAATTCTTCAACTTCAACAATTATGGCCGCCATTCTATCATCAAGAACTTCGTTCATTGTTTTTCTGAATTCCGAGATTAGTAAATCAAGCGAAACAACACCTTTTACATTGATACTCCCTACCGGTTGTAAGCCGCAATCCGGAGCGTCGCGTATCCGTTTCCTCGCACCAGCTTGCAAAGGTTCCGTAGCTTCGCACTGCACACTGCACAAACTCTCGGCAGGGCTAGGTGCCTTGGCTTTATGGCCATTCATCCTGACAGGACTCGGTGTCGGTGGTACAATATCTGTTCCACTGCTGCTGCTAGACATATGCCCTCCGCCACCAGCGTGGGTGGGGCTTTTAGCACGACGCAAAAAATTGCTAACCACTCTCGACATCGTAAAAAAAGAATCCCAGCTGCACATGTGCACCAAAGGAAACAAAAATGGGGAGTGGAGCAGGAGAGCAAGAACTCTAAGGGTAGGAAAGAGAGGAGGGGGGGGGGGGGGTAGGAAACCAGGAAACTTGTTATTCCAAGATATGAGTGCAAACAAGTATGCAAACAAGTACAAATATAGCAGTATCAAGATCATGATGCTGAGGCGAAAGTAGAGGCTGATTGCCGTGCAGATTTGACGAAAGATTAGAGTTAGAATGGAGGAGAGTTAGAGAGAGATAAAGACAGATGGATTGGGAGTTTGATGAGAAGGGAGTGCTCCGAGAACATGAACAGGGTCGTACTGGCAGTAGCCTAGGGGGCGATGTCCGTGGCCAATGACCAACCCGACCGTTTCAGGTAGCGGTAGGTCTGAACCTTGAACTGCTGCATCCCTTTTGCAGACGGTGCATCGCGGAGGAGAGTGGCTGGCAGTTCATTCCAGGCTTCGATGAGGCACTCCGGGAAAGAGCGCAGCGCAACATTGCACGATCTGGCAGGTAGGGCTGTCTGGAGTTGAAGCTCGTGCGCAAGGTTGGCTGCCGAGCGGCGACGTGTGGCAGGCGCGATGGCGGGTGCGATGGCTCTGGCTGGGCGTGTCGCTGCAAGAGCTGGCGGGCTTGCGATGTAATGGAGCTTGTACAGAGTTGTGAGGCCGGCCACACGGCGCCGCAGGGACAGAGTGTCCATTGCAGCCCCTGTCCCAATCAGGGTGAGGGCACGATGCTGGACTCGGTCCAGCTGTGAGAGATGGGTAGCCGCAGCTCCCATCCATACAAGTGGACAGTACTCCATTAGAGGCCGAATGAACCCCCGGTATGCTGTGGCCCGGCCCGGTGGGTCCAGGACATGGCACGCCTTCCGGAAGAAACCAATTCGCTGTGTGGCACGCACTGCAGTTCCTCGAAGATGCTCCGAGTATGTTAGATGGGCATCAAACGTCACTCCAAGGAGCTTCAGCCGCGAGCATTCTGGGACCGCTGTGCCGTTGAACTTGATGGGTGGTGTCTCCCAGGGTCTGCGGTGGCGGGACACAGTCATGGCCTGTGATTTCGTTGGCTCAAAAGTGACGCGCCACTGAGCACCCCATTCAGCAAGCGCATCCACACCAGCTTGGAGGTTGCGGCACACTTCTGTCACAGCATGTGGCGTTGGGATGTGGGCATAAAGCGTGGTGTCATCTGCGTAAACAGCCGGAGTGATCCCTTCCGGTAGGACGTCGCAGGCGTCATTCACGTACAGCAAAAACAGTGTGGGCCCAAGGATGCTCCCTTGTGGGACCCCAGCATCAATCTTGTATGGTTCTGAAGATGCTCCGCCGACTACTGCCTGCAACTTCCTGTCATACAGGTAGGCAGACAGCCAGTTGAGGAGGGGACCAGTGATGCCATATGACGCAGCCTTGTGGAGCACGCCTCGGTGTGAAACTTTGTCGAATGCTCCTGCTATGTCGACAGCCAGCACGCGGACTGCGCCACCACGGTTGACTTCGGAGACCCAGGAGTGGTTGAGAGACGTGAGAAGGTCAGATGTGCTGAGCTCCTGCCGGAATCCGTACTGGTGGATGGACAGAGCCTTTTCATGCTCAAGATGATTGATTATGGCAGTGTTGACAATCTTCTCCATGACTTTGGAGACAACAGATAACAAGGACACAGGTCGGTAGTTCTTAACAGCAGAATGAGATTGCTTCTTGTGAATCGGGACCACACGGGCTACTTTCCAGAGAGAGGGCTGGACATGACACCGAAAACAGAGTGAGAACAGCTTGGCAAGTGGTGCAGCCGAAACTTTTGAGCACTGCTTCAGAACTCTGGCAGGGATGCCATCGGGTCCGGTAGCCTTGGTTGGATCCAGCTGGCGGAGCTGGCGCTGGACTGTCGCTTCCCGAAATCGGACAGTTGTCAGGGCAGATGTACACCTAGGAGGAAGGTCAGGAAGGTCGGAGTGCTGTAGATCTTGATCACCCAGACTGCATTTGCTCGCAAAGAATTCTCCAAAGCAAGTAGCCTTTTCCTGGTTGGTGACATATTCTCTACCCTGGGCATTGCGTAGGACAGGGATAGACGAGCTGCGGCCAGAGCCTGCAGCTTGCTTCAGGAGTGACCACCATTGCTTGTTTCGCAGTGATCCATGTTTGAGCCGATCTAGGATGCGGGCAGATTCTGCCTGCTTTGCGAGACGAAGGCAATTGGCAGAGGCTCGGACTTTGGCATTGTAGTCAATGAGTTGCTGGTGGCAGGTGGGGTGTCTCCTGAGACGGTTCCATGCATTCTTCTTTGCCTGGGTAGCGGCTGAGCATTCCGGCGTCCACCAGGATGGATCTGTTGGTTTCGTCGAAAGTTCTTTGTGTGGAATGAAGCGATTCATGCCTTCCATGACAACAGCGGTTACTGATCTGCACGACGCCTCGGGGTCTTCTGATATATCCCAGTTTGCTGTTGAGTAGAAGTGCCGAAGCCGGCCCCAGTCTGCCTGAGCATACCTCCAAACGCGCCGTTTAGTCGGTGGTTCGCGGAGTGGGGTGGCATCAAAAGTGGCCACAACGGTGGCATGGTCTGATGCTCCAATGGGGTCCAGTACATTTACCACCACTGAGGTCTCCGAGAAGTCGCTGAGTATGAGGTCCAGGGTGTTCTCACCACGTGTCGGTTGAGTAACGTGCTGGTGGAGCCCGTGGAACGCAGCGAGTTCTTCCATGTATTCACCAGCCGGTGTAGTCTTCGTGCTGCATAGCCAGCTTTCATTATGAACATTTAAGTCCCCGGCTATCACGACGCTGTTCCCGAGGGATCAAGCTTGATCCATGACTGAGTCAAGATACTCAAGCAGAGAGACATCTTGTCCAGGGCACGACCCGGGTCGGTACACTGCACATACAACTACTTTCTGGCCATTGTCCAGGTGCAGGCGAAGCCAGATGACCTTATGGCCATGGCAGTTGATGTCACTCAGGTGGTCAAAGGAGAGGGAGTCCCGGACCCAGACTGCAACTCCGCCACCTTGAGCAGATCGGTCAAGTCGGAGGGGTGGGTGGAAGCCCGGCATGGAGGAGTCAGATAGTGAGGCTTTCTCCGGGGTGAGTTTAGTCTCTGTTACGATGGCGATGTCAGATCTGCTCCGTGCAACAGCATGCTGGAAGGCTCCAAACTTTGACAGCAGCCCAAAAGCATTTGTCAGCAGGAGCTTCATTACTGGGTATGTCCTTGCGCAGCTGGTGTTCATTGGTGTTTGTGTGACTGAATCGCTCCAGCTGAGGCAGCCTCTTCCTCACTGTCCCTATCGCCTCTGCTGCCCGCGTTGCCGGCGCCAGCTGCACCAGATGAGCTGTCACCCTGCGGCCGTTTGCGGTGTCGCCAGGCTCGAGCGTAAAGTGGTCGTGGCCAGAAGTTCGCAGCAGTGACTGTTTCTAATCCAGTGGCGTCGAGCGTCAATCGGGCTGAGACTTTCCCGTCTTCCGTGGTGTGCATGCTGCACTCATGGACTTTGACGGATTTGGCCACGGCCACAGATCGCTGCTGAGTGAACTCTGTCACTCGTTCCTCTGTGCAATCCGCGTGCAGATTTCCCACATACACGACTGCCTTCCTTGTTTGGTGGGGTTCTTTGGATACTAGTTTCCACGATTCATCAGCGATTGGGTCGAACGATGTTTTCTGGGGCTTGACTGGAGGGCGCCCAACAGTCTGAAAACTTTCGTCTTCCTCGCTCGAGATCTCACGATCACTGCCAGTGTCATCCACGTGTACGCGTTTGAAAGCGCTACGGTGTTCTCCTGCTGCTGCACCAGTGCACTTGGTGACCTGGTCTCTTCGCGTACGGCTACGAGATCCCTTCCGCCTCGTCGTACTCTGCATCTGGGGCTGTTGTTCAGCAGGAGGAGAGGTAACACTTGCCGTTGCAATGGCGGACTCCTTCATGGCGACAACTTCCTCTTTCAGTCCTGTTATCTGCATGACCAGTTCGTCAATCCTGTTTTTGAGACGGACCTCCCGGTTTGCAGATTCCGACACGAGCGCTGACAGCGTCTTGACCATTTCAAAGACGGACGATTCAATTTCAGGGATGGAGCTCAAAAGTTTTATTTCCGATTCCGTCAGGCTGCGAGTGGTAGTTCTGGCCGGCATAGCTACCTGTGTCTACCTACTAGTACTACCTAGACTATCTACTACTCACCACTCTTCTCTTCTACCCTGTAACTACCTCCAGACCGGCCTGGTGCCGGCTGGGCTGATAAATCGCACGAAAAACTACGGAGCTCGAAAAAGTCTAACTGTACTCTTCAGCTACATGAAAAAAAAACCTGTAGTAGTGAAACCGGCCAGCCAAAAGTAAACTTTAAAAGAATGTCACACTTGTTTGTGCAGTTTGTGTCGGGGGTATCAATCATACTTCACTGTAACTACGTAGAGCACGCAGGTTTTAAATCTTCTGATACCATGCCGGCTTCTTGTTTGATTCTTGGAGGTGCCATCGACCCCAGAAATCTCGGACCCGGAGAAAGAGAGCGTCATAGAAGAATGGCTGAATCCTTACAGAGTGACATAGAACGTATCTTCAAGTTTGCCGCTGGTCATTCAGAAAGAACTCGACAGGTAAGTAATAAGGGCCTTAGGCCCATCAAATTTCCAAGCGCTTATGCACTCTTGCTTCGTACTGCTGAGTGGTTGGGCGTTGCAAATTCATACGGTAAAGAGAGTTCGTGGATTTTTGTGGGAGTCAGCTAGGTAGTATGCTTCACCCAGGCCGTGCATGCCCGCATATTTTCGGAAGGTCGCATCAATGGCCTAGTATATGAACAGAAATGTAGTGGTTCAACAGAAGGAAGAAACAATTCATATATGTTATTATGGAAAAAGAAGAAGGACACAATTTGAGTTATGACTAACTGTCCACTAACGTAACCAGATCTTATACAGTCAGCGAGTGCGACAAATATGGCACAAAATCTAGCCCTTGGCGGATCATAAGCTGTACTGTCATGGTGCCAGAGTCGTTGTAACGTTGCAAAGTGCAGCAAGAGTGCATGGGTATAGTATAGAACCATCATTGGCATAATTCCAGCATAATGTAGCATAATCACTGCCATAATTGGAAGCATAATTCAGCAATTTACCGAGCATAATCTGCCAAGGGCTGTTTGTTAGGCACCGGCGGATTGTGCCGGCAGAAAAATTGACGGAATTCGGTACTTTTTCTGGTACGTTTCGTGCGTGTTTGGTATGTGGTTAAAGAATGGAGCAGAATTCGAGGAATTGCCTGCCATAACTGACATAAGGCTTGTATGGTTCTGCCAATTTCACTGCTTTTCGAGCAGAATCTGCCACCTTTTCGAGCAGAATCCACCGGTGCCTACTGTTTGTACTGAGTTCACAATACCATTAGATTGGACCGCAGCATAGGATAGAACCATCATTGGCATAATTCCAGCATAATGTAGCATAATCACTGGCATAATTTGGGCATAATGGAAAGCATAATTCAGCAATTTACCGAGCAAATCCGCCAAGGGCTACACAAAACTGACAAGGAGTACTGAGACACTCAACGACCTGACACTTACATGTAGCTCCAACATTTCTCCAAGGCACTTTCTTTCCCTTCTGGGACCTTTCCTCACCTGAGCCTTCCATGTTGGACGGTTGTTGGTTTACGCCTTGGAGAAGTGTTGGAGCTAGGTGTCAGGTCGTTGAGTGTCTCAGTTAGGGGTAAGCGGACTATGCCGGCATAAATTTTGGCATAATCAGATCCTTTTTGAGAAGGAGCTTAAAATGGCGTCCGAAAAACAGGGGCAGTTGCCCAATGAGGCTGTTATACACACCTGCTATTGAATTCATAATTAAAGGCATAATTGAAAGCATAATCAGGTCCTTTTTGAGAAGCAGTATAAAATGACATCCGAAAAACAAGGGCAGATGCCCAATGAGGCTGTTATATGCACACCTGTTATTGAATGACCACACATAGCACTTAATTCTTGTCGATTTGCCAATATTTTAGCAGCCACTATAGGACATCTCCCAAAAGTTCAGCGTTTGCTTGTGAATATGGTATTCCTCTTGCCATAGTCTTGCTCTTCCACAAAGCTCCCAGTCCACATCATTAAAATGGTCTGAGTACTTTTGCATGACGATTATCTGTTCTTTTGGTCTTTTTGGTGAAGCATATAAAAGCATGGTGGGCTGTTTTCTTGAGCATCCTGCGAGCATCAGCTAGAGCATAACCTGATCATTTCCCGAGCATAATCCGCTTACCCCTAGTCTCAGTACTCCTTGTCAGTGTTGTGCCATTTTGTCGCACTCGCTGACTGTTTAAAGGGGAACTCCACGAAAAAATGAAACTTTGATAGCCTGTAGAGTTTCGGGCGCTGAGTCGAATGGTCTTGGTCCGAAGCCTCTACGACGAAGCGTTCTTGAGATATTTCACTTTGAAATTGCAAAAACGGGGGCCGCGCCCTGACGTCATGCGGCCATTTGGTTACATCATCACGGGCTGCCTACGTCATTGTGGCAAAGTCGTTTCTCTTCGCCAATCTACAAGCACTAATTTTAGTTGGTATTTCAAGGGAAGATGGGCGATTCCGAACAATCCTCTGTCCCCAGCAATGAAGGCAGCGATGCTGAGGCCAGTGAGGACAACCAACAGCCCACCGCCGCGTATGGTTGGGGCAGGGAGCCCAGATACTCTGCTGAGGAGCTGCCATCGCGTGTAACAAATGTTGAGGAAGAAGATGCTTCAGCAGCTGCGTCCGACAGAAGACGAGTAGCTTGGCCACCAGAATCTCGATTCGTTTGGGACTCCGACTGGTGCGAGCGTGGACAAAAGTGTATAGCCATGCCCAGCCTGCGGGAATGATTTTGCTGGTAGGATGCTGCCGTCGTTGTCGACAAGACGGCCCAAGGTTTCTTGCGTAGCGGACCTCGCAGATTACGAGATCGTATCCTTGCATTAGGCTGTGCTCATCACTGCTCTTCGAGGTTATCTCGACATGCAGAAGCCGCCAATGCCAGTGACAGAAGAGTCTGACATTAGGTAAGCCTCAATTAGTTTGCCTTGACTTGTCTTGTGAGGAGCGCGTATCAGCATGATACACTTATTCTTATTTTTTTGGGGAAATTTATTGTTGTCAGGCGCACTACAGCAGGCGTCGCACAAGAAAGACATTGTACTGGTAGTTATCACAAGTTTCATGCATGACACAAACAAATTTCTCTTTGCTCCGAGTATGTCTTGACTTATCTTGTGAGGATCGATGCACGTAATGTTTTGTGTGTAGCTTATTGTTGTCAGGCATAGCACGAACAACGTTGTTCTGTACTATAGTGCTATCACAAGTTTTCATGCATGACTCACATTTGTCTTTGTCATTTTCCCTTGGATTGGTACGAGGTCTACAAAGTATGGTAGGTAGTGTTCTGTTGGTGAAGAGAGCACTGCACACAGTTTATGAGCACCATGGGTGCATTTGATCACACCCAAACCCATACTTTATCGTTTCAAGCGATAGACTTTGTCAATAAACTCGTTTTCTAGTATACCATGGCATGGCATGCAACGTACTAGCGTGGGGTCAAGAAAGTGTACACCAAAATAATGCACAAATTCTAGCAGGAGAGTAAGAAATCTGTACTTTCTGACCAAGACATCTCTGTACTAGTAGGTAATCGAACGCGTCCTAATCAGTATTCATCCCCCATATCATTGGAATTCAATTTGAAATCAGCAATTATGGTAAATTCTACAAGACCCTCCATCTTTGTACCAGTGGACACTAAATTAGTATAACGCGCGCACTGAAAGTGCAGGTAGGTACCGGTAGGTGCAATACAGCGCATATGTAGAGTAAATGAGTATTTGACTATAATAATTATTACGGTACAGCAATGTGGTATGTGTACAAGCACGAAGCACTCATCATACACATTCCATATGACATTCTGTGTTTGTGTAGATCTCTACGCTATGCGGCACACAGGCAGTACACACTATGTACACGGCAAATTGGGCAAGCACGTTCGTTGTCGTCTTCCAGCCTGCGTTGTGAATACCATCAGGCAAAGATATCCAAATTCTGCACCACCTCAGCCTTCTCAGAAGGCTTCCACCTGGAATTTGGCAGGGAAACTCGCTTCTCCAAGGCAGGAACATCGAGGTTGCCATTTGCAACCGCTACCACCTCACACATGAGCTTGTCAACATACTCATAGCTCTTTCTGTCGTATAATTTCTATTTGGCCAGTCTTCTTTAGGGGCCGTCCAAGGTTACCAATAATATTTTCAAAACGAAATGTTTTTGTTTGTGGGTGGGTGGGTTTGACGGAGTTTCGTTTTGAAAATAATTATTGGTCTTTTTGGTTGTGCTGTGGCGACGGTTGACATTGACGTCGTCAAGAGCTGCGAGATGTGCGTGTCCAATCATCCCCAGAATTGAGAAACGAATGCGTTTGAGAATGTAGTTTGGCAGGACACTGTGATATACCTGCATGGCAAAAAGAATGTGGAGAAAACACACTTGCTTAGACAATATACTGCTGTATGAGAAAATGGAAACTTCACTGTACAGGATGACTCTTGTTCTCAATTGCATTGTTCGTTTCATTCCCTGTGTTGCCCATAAGAGATGGGAGCAAAAATGTTCAGCAGATGTTTGTTGTCTTCTGGCGTGGAGTGGCGGCATCATTAGATGTACACATAGTCATTTCACTAAGTACACCACTACTACAGCATATGTACTATCCTTAGGCTAGCGTGCGTGGGAGTGAGTTTGAGTATGTGGGTGCGTATGTGTGTGTGTGTTGTTGTGTGTGTGTGTGTGCATGCACACGCGCGCATGTGGGTGAAGGTGTGAGTGCATGTGTATAATATGTGTAGTTCCCACTGTATTCCTTGCACAATAGGTCTTCACTTACTTTTCTTTCGCATACAACCAGAACCCATTCCTTGTTCGAAATTGGATTTTTTTGGCCTGGTGATCCCGCAAGCGTGGAACTCGGAGTGTAATAATTTTTTGTTTCACTTTGCTTGCACTATTCCTAGGCTGTCCAGACTTCTAACAACTGCTCTGAGTGATATGGTATTCATGCAACCATGCCTAGAAGTAGGGTAGCTGTTATAAATAGAGACATATCCACGCAATCAACTTACACTGGTTCAGTTTGGCAGGATTGGTGAGACAGTTCGTCGTGCATGCTGCCTGCACATCGCAAGCAAACAGTTCTGTAACCTTCGTACTTGCTGGGGGTCTGTCTGTTTGCGTCCCAGTTGATGACAGATGTGCACAGTTTGAGTACTGGTATGCGCAAAGTTACTGGGGTAATATCGTTCATCAGCTAGCTGCAGTCGGAGTTGATGGGGTGATGTACTCTTCTGATCCTGATGGGACGTATCTCGCCCTGCTTTCTCAGTTGCAGCTTGTTGAGTTCGCCTTGCTGGAGGCTCACGGTTCGGAGGGCACTGGTACCCTGATGAGGGCTTTCCTGGACGGCGTACTCGTCAAAACTCAGCTCTCAAGTCCCTCTGGGTCATAAATGCAGCGAGCAAACATAGCTCGTGCTGCGAAAATAGGCTTGAAATTTTCACGACGCATTGCAACATCTCGGCGCTTTGCCAGGTCTCCATCCTTTGGGAATCTGAGAAAACTAACCCCAGGAGGATGATGTGATACTGGCACAATCAACAACACAACAATTTGGCATTGCAGCGGCTCAGGCGACTTGGCAAACTACTTTCTGAAGTGACTTTCGTCCTGAAGAAAGTGAGATTCAAAAATCCAAGTATTTTCGCACCATGCCACAATGACGTCACACATACATTGGTATGGGGCGTGGCTAAAATTGAAATATCTCAAGAACGCTTTCTCGTAGAGACTTCGGACCAAGACCATTCGACTCAGCGCCCGAAACTCTACAGGCTATCAAATTTTCATTTTTTCGTGGAGTTCCCCTTTAAGATCTGGTTACATTGGTGGACAGTTTGTCATAACTCGTAACATCTTGTCCTTTTCTTTTTCTATAATCAAATTGGCTCACCATCCGAGTTCAACTACGAGCTCGTATACATGTAATGATATCCATAAGTGTTTGATTAGGTAAATTTCTCGATAATATTTTTGAGTTGCTTTACATTGTGCTGTGAAGCGATATTGCAAGCTTTGGACATGTGGATTTCTCCTGAATCCAATATTGTACAGTGTTCGTGTTTTGGTCTCCTACAGGGATATCACCACGGCATGAAGGTTAAGTCAATCCTCCTTAACAAAGGCATTAAAAGCGACATTCATGGGCAGGTATCCAGGTCTCTGAGAAGTAAAGGTGGTGCGCATCACTCTCTCTTCGAAAAATCTATGACTAAACCCTACACAAACAAGGATACGGTGAGCGTTGAGGCCCATATCTGCCCGTCTGATATTCATTCGTTCCTTTGTTTTCGTTTTTAGTGTCGTAGTTCTTGTTGCTGCTGCTGTTTTTGTTGTTGTTTTGGTGGTCGTCGTCGTAATAGTGTAGGTGGTGGTGGTAGTAGTGGTGGTGTTGATGGCGGCGGCGGCGGCGGCGGCGGCGGCGGCGGCGGCGGCGGCGGCGGCGGCGGCGGCGGCGGCGGCGGCGGCGGCGGCGGCGGCGGCGGCGGCGGCGGCGGCGGCGGCGGCGGCGGCGGTGGTGGTGATGGGTAGATAATACTAGATATTGTGGTGTTGCTGTTGCTGCTGCAACTGCAACTGCTGCTCCGATAGTGTCCATGACAGTTATACATGTACATGGATGTACTTCTCTTTTTCGAAGTACCAGTAATACAATCAATTTCTAGTACAATGTAGTATTTTCGTTAGCGTGAAGCGATAGCCAAATTCGAAATGTCCTTCTTTCCTTCTGCAGGTTCGCCATGAGATTCGTTCCTTTCTGCAGAATGATTTGAGTGACAACCTCATCATTTTCATGATCGGGCATGGTGGGCAGAATATGAGGCAAGGTGGCAAGGTAGTAGAAAGCTTTCTGCTGCCACAGCAAGGATCGAGTCGTAATGACGTTTATACTGACGCTGAGCTCACGCAGGACATTGTGGCCGCACTGCCGCCCCGCAAGAAGCTGTACATTGTCATGCACTGCTGCCACTCAGGTGGCATGGTCAATTTCTGGCAGCTGGACACAAACAAGCAGGTCGCACTTTTCGCCAGTGCAGAAGCCGACATTCAAGTCCCATGGAGCACTGATCGAGACTTAAACTTCATCTCCATGTTCTGCTCAAAGGCAATTGCCGGAAAGCAATTGAACACTATCGCGGATGAAATTTATCAGGCCCTCTATCGGGTTCCAACCGTCCGGCCGGTCTTCAAAACCACTTATCCAGCTATGGTGATCGAACAGTTCTTGTACTAGAATAACATGTTTGAACACCAGTACAATACTTCTTTCAGCGTGAATGGTGAATAAATTTAAAAATCATTATTTTATGCTACTTTTGTCAAAAGTATACTCTCTGTAAGATATTAAGCCTGTACAATACCAGTACATTGATATGCAAGTTGCCATATTCCCAACTAAACTAGTACATTGATATGCAAGTTGCCATATTCCCAACTAAACTAGTACATTGATATGCAAGTTGCCATATTCCCAACTAAACTAGTACATTGATATGCAAGTTGCCATATTCCCAACTAAACTAGTACATTGATATGCAAGTTGCCATATTCCCAACTAAACTAGAACTTGCACATGAACTACTAAAGTTTGGGTATCCACAGAGTAAACATTAGTTAGTAGCTTAGTGATTGGATTAGTTAGTAGCTTAGTGATTGGATTATCAGCTTAGTGATTGGATTATCAGCTTAGTGATTGGATTATCAGCTTAGTGATTGGATTATCAGCTTAGTGATTGGATTATCAGCTTAGTGATTGGATTATCAGCTTAGTGATTGGATTATCAGCTTAGTGATTGGATTATCAGCTTAGTGATTGGATTATCAGCTTAGTGATTGGATTATCAGCTTAGTGATTGGATTATCAGCTTAGTGATTGGATTATCAGCTTCGTGATTGGATTATCAGCTTAGTGATTGGATTATCAGCTTAGTGATTGGATTATCAGCTTAGTGATGGGAATATCAGCCTATTTCTAAGTTTTGTTTAGTAAGATCAGCAGATTCTCCACTGATTTCGTATACTCACATTAGACACCTTATGCACAACATCATGCATCTCTCTTATCTCTATTAGTACCTGGAGTGAACGTATTTCTCCGTACCTAACACCATGCCATCAATGACGCTGATCTGCGTTTTCAAAGGTGAATGAACACTGATTTCCATGCGGAACTTGAATGAGTGATGTCGTTGTATTCGTACAACCAAGAGTGCATAACTCCCAGGGGTTATGTACTCTTGGGTTATACAGCCTCTGTTACAGGCAAAATAGACCCAAGGAACTCTTGGACTCTTGGCACAGCCGTTGAGTCCAGAATCACGAATGGCATCCAGTCGGTTTGCCTTTTGGTGGGATCATCCCAACACTGCAACAAGTCAACTACATGTACATAATTATGTCATTGTAACATTCTACTCCTCTGTAGTCGAATGGACATGCACATGGACATGCCTTGTTGAACTGAATGGCCCACACATCTTGACTTGAGCTCTCCGGGCTGCACATCAGAGAACGAATACAATGTTAACACGTACATGTACATATATACACCACCACACTGGGTATAAGGTAGTGGAAGCAGGCAGCACCGTCATGGGATTCGAGGTATTTCCCCCTAGTCGGCGCACGACGCCGTCTCCTGTTCACACTCGAATTGCAGCTGTTTAGGACGCTTGCGTCCCCGTCTACGCCCGTCTACAGTATGAAAAGTTGGATCGATCCAACTCTTCCCGTCGGTTCCCGATCTGTACGGTAGTATGGTTGCGTTCCCGTTCCTGGTGTTCACATTGGACGCCGCCGGACCGTCCCGTCGCTTCCCGTCGATCCTTACGTCGCGTCCCGTTGCGCCCCATACGCTGGAGGCAACAGCTTGTTTGTAAAGCAAAACCTTTCCTGAAGAGCAGAAGAAAGGCCGTGTTCAGAAACAAGGGACTGTACCTTTGCTAGAAGGCTTGAATCGTCTGCAATGAGTGCATGTTGCATGTTTCTCGGCGCTGCCGTTCACCCACATTTCGTTGATGAAGAAGAGAAAGAACAGCAATGGCGAATGGTCAGCGCTGTGCAGTCTGATATAGACAGTTTGTTCGATTTCGCCGCTCACAATTCCAGGGAACGCCATGGAAGGAAAGGAATGGTAAGACGAGATTTCCCTCGCTCGTATCAGACGATTTGGCGCTGAGCACAAAATACTATTCTCGAGATACGAATCTTGCAAGTGCCAGAGAAGTATTTAAAATGAATAACGTTAGTCACCTTATTATTATATACAGAATGCTGTTACTTGTACTTCAAATTCGTTCTGTAGGAGTACGTTCACAAGGTCCGGGTTAGTTTTTTTAGTTTTTTTATACGAAAGTCCACTATATTCCCGAATATGTGCGAGAAGTGGTGGCCGGGCCAGGCTGCTCTGCCGACCTCAAAGGTCTCGGCGTCTACGCAGACAAAGCGCGCCATAATGCAGTAAAACCATGAAGAGGGGAGGAAGAGGGGAAATGAATAATAGTGAGAAACAAGGACAATGGGTAGATGGTCGTGAGAGAAGCAGAGTGAAAGATAACGTCACATTGTTGTAAGGGGGGGGGGGGGGAGGATGCTAGTGAGGCACTGGTCTAAACCGTTTCATATTGCGTCGGTGGCTGCTTGCCAGTTCAGGTGCAGCAGATACTTGTTGCATTTTTCCTTGAATGATTGGACCTGGCTGGGTTGCGGCCGTGCTGGTAGAATGGTCGCTGGTAGGCTGTTCCACAAGGGAATAATGCAGTCTGGGTAGGAACCCTGGAGGCTGCTGCGAATGCGCACGGGCAGCGTCGACTTGAGCTGGAGCGGGTGGCAGTGGGCAGTCTCCGTGGCTAACCTAGTGGATCGACCACCCACTGGGCGGGGATTGGCTGGAGGTGGGAGGATGGGCTTCAGGGGGCTTTTTGTTGGAAGGTAAGACAGCTTGAACGTGAACGAAAGCGCAGCAACCAGTCGGCGGTGTTTCAGGCTGGGGAGCCAGGCGCCTGGGCCAATCACCTTCAGTGCCTTGTGCTGGATTTTGTCCAGTCTGGATGTACCTGATCCCATCCACACCAGGCAGCAGTATTCCATTGTTGGCCGCACGAAGCCTTTGTAGACTGCCGTGCGGCCGCTGGAGTCCAACAGGGGCGCAACCTTTCTCAGGAAGTGTAGGCGTTGGGCAGCCTTTGAGGCCACGGCCCGGAGGTGTGCTGCGTAGGACAGTTGCGAGTCGAATGCTATGCCCAGAAGTTTAATTTCCTTCTCTTCTGGAACAGTCACTCCATTGAAGAGCACTGGTGGGAACGCTGGGGGAGGCTTGCGGTGGTCGATGATGAGGGCCTGAGATTTGGATGGCTCGAAGGTGACCTTCCACTTGGAACCCCAGTGGGAGACGGCGTCCACTGCTTCCTGGAGTTGTGCTGCAGAGTCGGATATGCTGGCGGTGGCAGAGATGCACTGATACAGTGTCGTGTCATCTGCATACGTGGCAAGCACAGCACCAGCAGGCAAGGTGTCCTCGCAGTCATTTACATACAGGAGGAATAACGTTGGTCCAAGGATGCTACCTTGTGGTACCTCTGCTTGGATATGGTGCAGGGAGGACCTTGGCCGTTCCTCCTTTATTCCCAATCGAACATGGTTGAACAAGCGGTCACGTGCTCCTGGGTGCCCAAATCACATGGTCACCACGCCAGCAGGCGACAACTTTCACACCAAGGTTCAACTCGAGTGACAGGACTGCACCCAAAAAACGTCAAACAGGCTAGTATAAGTTGTACCCTGCAAGCACGGTGACCAGGTGACGGGCGTACGCAGGAGCACGTGACCGCTTGTTCAACCATGTTCGATTGGGAATAAAGGAGGAACGCTGCATCGCAGCCTTTTCGGACCAAAACCAGTCGACTCAGCGTCCAAAAGACTACAACATATGGGCCAATCACGGTCATCCGTGCTTTTATAAGAACGAAATGGCCCTTTTAGTGACATTTTGCATACAAATCCCCATCTAGTAGGGCGCAGTCACCCAGTTTTGGTGGAAGTGCGCGAGTTCGATTGGGATTCAAGTAGGAAGGGAGCGTCTCAGCTTCCTCGGACCACGACCATTCGACTCAGGACCCCGAAGACTACAACTGGTGAAATTTTAATTATTGCCTTAACTTCCCCTTTAACTAGCTGGACCAGGTACAGCACCGAGCCCTAAAGCTCATCGGCCCAGGGTCATACATGTATCTCCCAAGCCTCAATGTTCGGCATCAAGTCGCAGCACTCGTTAGATACACGTTTTTTGTGGCGTATGGATGCACTTTTTCTAGCTCTGACTGTTTTTGTATTTTTGACTGGAATATCACCATAGTGCTATCTTCAAGACTCTTTCTGCGTTTGTAGTACTTGCCGGGATAGTTCTCCTGCAGAAGATGAGCAGAAACCAGGACACTCGGTCTATTGGCTCACTGTCATCTCGTTTGACAGAAAAGTCAAAAGCTACAACGCCACCCGATAAGCTTCGTCAATACAGCTCTCGATTGCAGAAGGACCATGCCGGAAAGTCTGCCACAGGTAGGCCTCAGCGGCTAATGCTAGCATTAAAAGTAGCATTAAAGGCCTTTTTTGGAAACTAGCATTGCTCTAGCATTGCAAGCAGGTTTTATGGGGTAAAAAGCATTAAAAGGGGCCTGGGGGCTAAAAACCTTTCCAAAGCATACGCTGCAATGACCCATATGGTAATGTTTGCACCAATTATGGAGTCTGGGCCTCTTCTGGCACACAGCAAGTGCACAACAGGATTCAAGGGTACATATATGCCATACAGTAACAAAATGGGTACTCTTGGTCCGGCCACAGTCAAAATACCGTTACCGCTAGCGTTATCGTCTCAATGCTAAGGGTGCCTATTTGGAAGCGCCAAACCTACACACACACACCATGGTGCCCTGTTTCATCTGATCGTGTCTACAATGAAATTAGACGCAAGACCATCCGAAAAAGTATTTCAGTACACCATTTTCTTTCCTTTTTATTGGTGCTGAAACTAGCATTAATGCTGCAAACGAGCACTCAACCTAGCATTAGCAACCAAAATAACTAGCATTGCCAAAAGCATTTTTGCCCAAAAAAACTAGCATTAGCCGCTGAGGCCTAGCCACAGGTAACGTGCCTAGTGTTAACAGTATTGTTTCAATAGAGGAGCTGATCGGGCAGTTCCGAGAGACAATGGATGATTTATTAGAAGTGAGATTGGCCACCATTGTTGTCGAAGTCCAGGACATCAAACGGGCCTTCAGTGATCTAGATGACAGAGGACGGGTCCTGGAAAAGGACAACCGTACGCTACGAGGTCTGAATAGTAGACCCAGGTGCTCGAAGTCCGCACACTTTTACAGTGTGTGTTTGCCGAGCTGAAACTCACACTAGCAATGATCACTTGCCAGAATCCTGCTCGTGGATGGAAGGTATCTTGTCCAAGTTTGTTCTGAGGCCAGGCTCGATTGAACCAGGCCATCTTTCGATCCGCATTGCGCGAAATCACGCGACACCTGTACATTTTCGATCTGCGGGATGAAGATGACGACGTCCATGCATCAGGTATCAGGGGGTAGTAAGATACTGGTATATTACTACTCCACGCCTCAAATCGTGCTGTCAAGCGTATGCGGGGGAGTGTAGCATGCCATCCCTTACACTTTCCAGCTCAGGGTTACCCTCGCTACCAATGGACGAAATTTCAGGGTCACAGCTTGCGCAACGGCTTTGTCCTGTGCGAATGGCCACTCGACATACTCAGCACAAATTTTCTATTGCATGCATGCACAAAATGTTCAACTTTCGTATTTTTGGCGACTTTACCACCGTCGTGGAGGC